ATGAAAGATCCCTCAAGATTATAGGCAGAAACGCACACAATACACAGGTTAGTGATGCATGAGTGCTTGGCCTGCTCGTCTGGATAGAGGAAAGGGGGTGGGGTAGTCGCCCTGAGCCGCTGCTTGTGTGTGTGCACAAGTGGGAGTGACCGGCATACCTTTACACCCCGAACACCAATAGCATCCCTCCTCCCCCTCCCTCCTTTTCCCACCACAGTACCCCACAGCCGTATATCTGAGCTGCACTAAGAAGAGCCCGGCCGCTATCTGGAACATGGATCTACAACTGTTTACCTTCCCGCTCCCCCTGCTTTAGTGCCGCTGTCTTTCGGGACTGAGACTCTTGCAGTAAGGGCACACATCACACTGGCTGACTTCAAAACCTTTCACTCTAATAGCGAACCAGAGGGCACCGCAGGAAGGGGGGGTTCTGCGGTGGCAGAGAACAAGAGTGGTGGGAGAAGCATTCGGGTCATTAATGTGAGTAAAATGTGCAATACTTTGTGAAAGTTTCAAAGAGTTTCCTATGACCGGTGCAGATCTGTCCAGCAGTTCAGTGTTGTGTTTTGGTGATGTTTGATCATCACCAACTGGCGTAAACATCTTTTACAATATCTCGGATCAAGACACTTTCAAGTGTTTTAGCCCGTTTGATTTAGGATATTTCTTTGATGTCTGCACTTTTTAATATAATTTTTTCATTTTATTTGGTTAAATGTTTTTTCTGAATGATCCAATTGCTGTTGCTATAAAAGAATACTGGACTATTGAAAAAAAAAAAACTGCAATAATTAGATGACCAAGTAGTATAAATTGTAATGTATTAGTGCAGTATGTATTCATGTATATCTATAGCATCCAATTTTATTTCACCCTACAAATCCTCCATTCATTTCCTACAATATTACCCATCTGGACATTACTTAAACTACACCCCCTACAGGTGGCAGGAGGTGTAGCACATCTCTCAGACCTCCTGGGCTCTGGATATGACTCGTATGAGCATGAGAATAACCTCAATATGTTGCTGACACCATTGGGTTAAGACAATAAAATCAGTTGCATAAGTTAAAACACAGGCGATATATATTCAGTTAGAAGGGCCTAACCCTTACTTTTTAATACATCGCAGTAAACCTAATCCACACTGTCTTCCTCGTTGTTTTAGTGACACGTCAACACAATCTTTTACTGACTTGGTGATTTTAGGTAATAAGATGCATAACGTGGATCTGTTTAGAAATCTACTCTATTAGTTTGCTTATAAAAAAAAAAAAGAATTAAAAAAAGAAAACGTCATGGTGAGGGTTGAAAAACTTTGGAGACATCACTTGAAATTAAGCCACTTTACAAACTTTTACAAGAATCAGACCTTGCATATCCTCTAAAAATAGTTATTTTTCATTTTTACCTGCATCAACATAACACCCATGAGGTCTTTTTGGGGAGGAGGACGGTTTCTTTTCACATATAGATCAATACTTTGCTTAACAGTTGTTTGTAACACAGATATTTGTTTGTTTTCTTTATTTGAAATTGTTTTATGAACTCCATTGTTTCGAATGAGGTGAATCTGTGGGTCCATACAGAGCCATTTCCCAAAACATCTAAAAGTAATCACATTTCAGACAACCTCCATCTGTGCTTTGGGATAGTTTTGATATGTTTGGCTGTCTTTCTAAATGCAATCTATAAAGTGTAGGAGGTAAACAAATGGTCTGTGTATTAAAAAGATGTACCCACACACAGTTATGAGAGTGAGATTAATCAGAAACAAGTCGAATCCTATTTTTACCCTTCTACCTCCCACTGTTGAGTCCTGGGCTAAAATCCGCCTGCCTGTGAGTTGTGGTAATTTGGATTTGGCCTCATTGGTGTCGCCTTCTCTTCTTTATAGCCATTATTTTCTTCTCCAACCAGCTTTTTAAAAATTTATTTATTTATTTATTTATTTATTTATTTATTTATTTATTTATTTATTTATTTATTTTTTTACAGTTCTTGTTCGTGTCTTCTCCCACCGGGTTTGCTTTTCAATAGTCTTTTTTTTCAAAACCTTTTTTTTCCCTTTTCTGTATATCGAAAGCCATCTTGTAATTTCCTCCCTAACTCCTCACCAGCCTTTGCCTCCTCAGTTTTATCCTCCTGTGGCTTTTCCTCCTCTGCCATCTGCTTCTCTCCAACCCTTCTCCCTCTCCGTCAGTCGCTTACCCCTCGTGTCTTCATACACTTGCTGACACCTAACTTCTTTGCCACTGCAGTTTTAAAAGAGATGAGTTTTGGCTTCTAATCCAAGTTTCCTTTACTGCCTGCTCCTGCTATTTTTTTCGCATACAGCAGTCAGGCAGTTTTTAATCGATGCAAAGTCATCAGCACATTATAACTAACACAGGATGGACCTTAAGCAAAGCACTCAGAGTGGTCCCTCAAAAGCAAGTGCTTACAAAGTGAAATATCTAATAGCTTCAAAGTGAATTAGAAAAATAACTAAGTATATTACTAATTTGGTTATCAAGTAATTGACGACAACTATTTCAAATAGGAATATAAGGTCTGTACAAATTCAATTCTTGTTATGATGAGAGGTGAAATGCCTCACTTTTCATCTGGTTTGCAATAGCTGAGTTTTAATCAGTTGCCAATTGTCCACATGTGTCCACATCCTTCTAAACTCTACACTTTGCAAGCTAATTTGAGGTTCAGTAACTTGGTCAAAATCACCTGAAAGCAGCTTTCCATTTCAAGAATGACACTCCAAACTAAAACAACCCTTTATCAAATTTAATGCATTTACTGTTATTTGTTGTCAATTTGTTATGTACCGCTAACGTAGTCATTTTTTTGCTGTAGCGTTGTCATTTAAGATCAAAACCGCATGGAAATCAAGTTGACAAGGTGAAAAAAATGTCCAGCTTTAGTATCAATTGACGATTTATTATGTTAATCCCACTCCAGTGTACAACATAAAGAAAATTAAGATGAACAAGGGGTTATATCATTATGCTAACATTTGCCCCCTCGCATTTTCCAAAGTTCCACTAAAACCTAAATGGTCTTTCTAATGCCTGAAATGAATATAACACATGAATAATAATGTTTAAACAAACAAACGGTAGGTGTTCTTAACAACTGTAACCGCACATTGCTGAATTTCTCAGGATTTACATCACATTTCAGTTGTATTAACCTGAAAAGAGGTCATTACCGATTAGCCTTTAGAAAATGGGACAATTTAAGTAGTCCCAGTTTATGATGAGTTATTTGGTGCGACTGACGCTTTGTTACTCTGTCTGTCTGTTTTGGAGTGAAGTGGAGAGCAAGACACTCATTTTGCATTAATGAGGAAGTTCTTGCCTCAGAGCATTACAACAAAGCAGAGTTTTACAGGAATGCTGTCCTCAGGCTAGAGCTTATAGTCCCAGCTTGAAGAATGGTTGGTAGAGGTTTATTTACTTTAACGTCACATTTCATGGAGTTTGCACCGAAACATTCAAAACATCTGCCAATGTTCAACTACCAAAACATCTGGTATCTCCTCTGAGCTTATCTAGTTAAATGTATTTATTAATTTAAATCTCCTTTTATCGATTCAGAAAGAAATGTTTAAAAAAGGGCTGAAAACTATCAAAATCCACCATGTCTGTGATAATAATGGCAAAACCTCAAATCAAACTGAAAGTTTTGTGTTTGCAAAGGACATCTGGCGTTCCCACCTGCAGACGTAAATGATAGATTCAGTGAGCATTTATGCTGCTGGCACGCTTTGCTTTGGCCAAAGAAGGATGCCACCAGCAAGGACTCCAAATGCCACTTAGGACTCCACCAAATCCGTGGGTGGTTGGACTGTCTACCCTCCTATTAAAACACGTCATTAGCATTTAGTTGTCTGTGTCTGTGCTGCTGTTTTGAAATTTGTTTTATTTTCCTGACAGCAAATCCCTCCCACGATATCTACATTGGCTCAGACATCAATCTTTTCAAAACCTTATAAAAACTGCACGCATATTGCGATGAGAGATTGTAAGTTATGAAGGATGCAAATGCCACATTTAGTTTTTAAGGAGCTAGCTTTTTATCCCCTTTTTGTGAAATTTGCCACTGATCAGACTCTTCCAACTATTTTCCCTCCCAGTCAGCCACATATTTGCATGTTTTATAAGCAAATAACATTTTTAACATAGCACAAGAAAAAATGTTCAAAGTTAAAATAAAAAAAAAACATGTATGAAATCAAGCTTTTCCAAGCGAGACAAACCCAGATAATGTGGCAATCTCTTGTCTTATCCCAGTATTTTTACAATCTAGTGGAAATTAAGACGGTAACATCCTTCCAGCGGTTTTTATTTCCCTAACTGAAGTATTCCAAATGGTAATTTAATCAAACGGTCATTTAATCTAAATCCTTCAAATAAATCCCCTGCTATGTATTTATTCATAATAAACTGTTAACTGGTTCATACAGAATGAGGATACTAAAAGACTCTTCGGCTGGTGAGGCTGAGTCTTCCCCACAGAACCCTTATGTTGCCCAGCAACCATACACTACCAGAAGGGAATCCACGTCGTCCCAGGAATCAAGTTCAACTTAGAAACTCCTCTGTATCAGTGAAGCCTTCAGAATGTGTCCAGTGTGTGTGTCTGTGTGTGAGAGACGGCTTAGTGGAGATTGGGGTTTGGGTCAGGAGTGTGTTTTGGGGTAAAGGATTGGCTGATGGGTTGCGAGGGGGGGAGTGAGTGCATGGCTGGGAATGGGGGGGTTGGGGGTGGGGGCGAGGAATCTGTTTACAATGGCTGGAGGGGGGGGAGAGTTTAAGCTGCCGAAGAGGGAAAAACACTCAGACGTCGAAAGGCAGAAGGAAAGAGAAGCAGAAGATGAAAGATGAGAAAGGGCGGGAGCCGAGGAGAGGATTAAAAACAAAACTGAAGGAGACCTTTAAGGCTGCGGGAGGAGCAGCAGGAGAAGCTACATGGTGATGCAAAGCAACAGCTGTGCTAGATCTCTGCTCTCAGACACCCAAATCGTTGTGTGTGTGTGTGTGTGTGCGCGCGTGTGCGTGTGGGTTTGGGTTGAATTTAGGCACACGTGCCCAACACAGAGCAAATTCATTCATTTCCTTCCCTCTCTCTTTGTGTGCTCGTGCTGTTGTTGTGTAAACACAGAGTTTGAGGAGCAGTTGTGTGACTCCAAGCTGACCGGTCAGACTTTCCGCCATCCGTCCTCGCAGAGCTCTGACGACACGTCCACATCGCTCAGCCGGTCGCCCGTCTCGCTCAACAACAAGAGACCTGACTTCATCTTCCTGGTAAACACACACACAAACACACACAAGCTCACGTGTTTATGTGCACAGCCTTCTCATTTGATCATAAGACTCCCTCAGACCAAATGTCTTCTCTATGGTAAACAAATGCTTGTCGTCAAGCATTTGTAAGTTATTACCATCTAGGGACGCGCAAACAAATGATTACACGAGCTTGAGAGCTTAAAAGCTGGCATCACTTCTTAAACACACATTCTCTCACATGCCCCGCGTCCACCTCATTTATCTTTTTCAATTTTTTCTCTCATAACAGCAAGAGACCAGACTTCACATTCCCATTAAGCTCACCCAAACACAGTCCAACGCTCTTTCTCTAACTTTCAGTTTCAATTTTTGCTTCCCTTTCTAAACCAAATCATCAGTTAAATGCCTGTCCTAATAAGCTGCAGGCACATTAATCAGTTTTTCTTTTTTTTTTTCTACTTTTGGCTTCCATTTCATTGTCCTTTGTGCCTTATCTCGCCGAAGCCAGCCTGACGATTCAGTTTGTCGGATGATGCACCTTAGATTGGATTCCTTTCTCGACTCATTAATCAGATTCAATTATTCCGAGGGTGTAAATAAAACCGTAATCCCGCCGACTTTCCGTTTATTTCAGCGCCTTTCGTAATTATTTTTCCGTTCATTAGGAGAAGGCTGCGTCTAACAACTGTAAAGCAGCAGACACACCGAGCGTCTTCCGAGAGTCTCATTTACAAAAGCATTTCGCTGCTCGTTCAAGAGAATGCCGCAGCTCAGAGGTTTATTCTACATGTGAGCACGGCCACTCGTGTGTGTCCACTGCTGTTGAGTCACATAAGCCAGTTTTGACAGTCAAGACTAGAGTTTCTCAGCAGTCACTGGTCACACGTGGCCTTCAACGAGAAGTGCTCCGCAGGGAAAACCTGCTGAAGGCACAACTCAAAAAGTTAAGGCCAGAATATTTCCCGTCCTCCCCTAAAGAGGACTGTGACTTTAATCTCTCGTCTTTAGTGCTCTGCCGCACCATTATTCTGCCGTCTAGCATCTAAAAAATCTGAGCCAAAAATGTGTGTTGTGACAGAGGGCCTCAGTGTGTCGGATAGCATCCCTTTTTTCACAAAAGACTGGAGCCGAATGATCCCAAAACTGTCATGTAGCACGTCCCACCCCCTCGTTCTGATTCTTCACAATTAGTCATCGTCCCTTTCATACTCTCAGCAGGTTTTCTACCAACAGATGCCGCACAAATTGGTGTCTTCCCGTCGGAAACGTCATTAATCCTTGACAGGGAATCAAAATATTGTGCGACAGCGGAGTTTGCTGTCAGCCAGCTAACGCACTCCCCAGTTTTTTTTTTTGTCATTTTTTTTTTTCCTCCTCTGCCTTTTTTCCCACCGATGCCGTTACCCCGAGCCGCATCATTTTATCGCCGTGATGGACTCCCACAGTGCCCTTACTGCAAGATGGCTCCCCGTTTCCTGCGCGTTAGCAAACTGTTTACGGAGCACGCTGTTAAACGGCTGTGTCAACTCAATGCTTCCCCTCCATTCAGGCTCATTTCAGTTACACCATGGCTGGCTCCCACGGGTCACCTCCTGCCACCACCAACGGGGCACTGTTCCCTCGTATGTGAGGGATGGACTGAAGGCATTTCCCGCATTACCGCAGTTTGTGATTCAGCGCCTTGCTCAAGGGCCGTTTGGCAGAGGAAGCTGGCATCACAGATTTAATAGCAGGCTTATCTAAGCGCCCTCTCAGCTGGGATTACACCGTTTTGTTTTTGACTTCAGGGGCAAAACCAACGGTCTCTCTGCTACTTGCTAATCAGATCCTACCTCCCTATTTTTTTTAAATCTCCCCTTTGCTATGTTTTCACCTCCCCAAACATCTTTAAAATTCAAATCCCTGCCTTTGATTATTCAAATTCAAATCTCTCCTAACTACAAACAGATTCTGTGTTTTCAACCAGTAAAACAGAGGAAAATATGATTGGTGATTTTGTATCAAATTCCTTGCTTTAATTCTTTTGTTTGTTACTCTGTGTTGTTTTTAATATATTTAACTGAGGCAGAGTTAATTGGAGTGGAACTGTTGAGGAAATTAAATTAGCACCACCAAATGGGCTGAAATGCCTGACAGAAATGTAATAAATGCTGTTTGTTTTTTATTTTCTTTCAGAAACCTCATCAATTTTGTACAAGCAAGTAGAAAAAGTGGACTTTGGGGTTTTTACGTATTCAGAGCACAATTCTGACCACTTTCTGCATCCAGAGAGAAAACAAGAATCTGATGTTGCAATCAGGTTTTGCATGAAAGATGATTGGATCACAACAAACCAACATAAATTGGCCACAAAAATAAGAGTCCTATAAATTCACCCACTTTAGCTATTTTTACTTTGTTTTAGGCAGGCCACCATTTTATATCAAAGTTCAATGATTCATTCATGTTTGCAACAACAGGAAGTAAATGAAAGCGAGGGAAAATTGGCAAATGCTTTTGTCAAATGTTTTTTTCTTTCTCCAAGGCCACTTTATGTGCTGACATAGACATTCATTTAATACGGTTGTTGATCTGTGTCACGAATTGTTGCAAGATGAGTGAAACCGAAGTGACTAATGGCTCCATTTCCAGGATTTATTGTCTTCTTAGGGACTTTTTTTGCTTTGAGGGTTCAAGCACACATTTAATAAATATTATAGGTTTAAGGCAGACAATTGCACACAGATTCAGACCAAGACCACTGATGTCAGTCCACAATGCTATCAACCATATGAACAAGCCATAATCATATCTCGATATACATAATTTTATCTAAAATGTGTGCAACAAATCCATCATGCTCAAAATAATTTAAGGTATGCTTCCTTTTCTTTAATTATGGCCAATGATTTACTGAATATTTATAGCTGAATAATTTTCAGAGAGCTGAAGGCATCTGCAGATTTACTTTTTGTAAAAACGAAGAGGTAGCGCATTGCCCCAGCAGCGCTACCAAAAAGGGAGGATCTGCTCTGATCGGTTTGCTCTGCTGGCTTGATTTGGCTCTGCATCTCGCAACATGTTAGATCTTCTGAAATCCTAAATTTGTTAAAGCGCTCCACTGGACTCAAAATTCCTCCAAAAATAAAATGCAGGTCATAAACAGTGAGTCATAAACATCAACATTCTACAGGGAAAAGTAAGAAAAATTCATCAAAAACAGGAAAACCAAGGAAAACACAATGGGAACATCTTCAGACATTTCATTAAAGCCTCCACAGGAAACTGAATAGCATGGGGGCTTTTAATATTCAGTTACCCTCATAAGAGGACAAAAACCTCTTAGCCTCATTGGTCCCTTTTCTTTGTCTTCCACTTCTAGCCAGCATCGAAGCAGCTTTACGACGATGAAACCACCTCCTCTGTGTTTGGTCTGAGGTCTGCGACCAACCCGTCTCCCTCCCCGTCCCCGTGCGGCTCCGACCGCCCTCCATTGGGCTGGAGCAGCAACCACAGCAGCAGCAGCACGGCCACATCGGCCACCACCGGGCCGCCCGTCGCCGAGAAGCCGCGCTGGCACCTGGGGAGACACACGCCAGCTCACTTCTTACCGCTCGACATCACAGGTACGAGACAAACGGCGAAGGGAAAGCCGAAAGAGTCCCTTTCAAGGTCCCCTTTTTCAAAGGCGCGCTGTTATGCGAGGGTCTGTTTTTTCCGTTTCACTATTATTTGGACAAGGCAGAGGAGGTGGGTCAAGCTCATTGCCATACACTCTACAGTTGAGCCTTCAAGATGTTTTCTCAGTCAGTCGGTCCTCGATTAACTTCTGAAGCATTTGGATTGGAACAGAGACAATGTCTCATAGACTCATAGGCTGGATATGAGCAGTCCTGAGCAATCGCAGCAAAGAAAAATTAATAAACGATGGCGGCAGCGTGGAAATAGCTGGCTAATGTGTAGTAAAAGTATTAGGTCGCCACACGCTCAGGTTGTTTGTATTTCAAAGAAGGAATATTCCAAATAGAATGCCGTTTCCACTTATGAACATTGGAGCTGTTTAACAATCAAAGATGTCAAAACAGTGTAAGCCAGTCATGCAAATCAGTAGTTATGTCATAATAAAGGGCGATAAAAGCTTTTGACTGTGTGATTGTTGATTTGGATAAAACATATTACCTTAAACTCTTTGAGCTAATCTCGAGCTCTTTCTGCTCTTTTCATCTCTTTAATTAGCAAAGGCATTTGAGTTAAACTGCACTGAACTGTTCGGAGGGATTTCGAGTCGCTCAGGCTGTGTGTTTTGCACAGTCAAAATGCCTTTGAGCATTCCATGGTTTTATTTGAATTTAGACCCTTCATATGGAATTTCGTTGTAGAATAATCCAATTTTAGATGAGATCCTTTTGGAAATGAACCCGCCTGTGGCAGCTGTGGGATGGCTCCGGCCAAATGACTTGTGAACCCACAACATCAAATGGCTAAACTAAAACATGGCTGAGCTGGAAAACACGACTGACTTTCTCTGAAAATGTTGAGCTTTAGAGCTAAAAAAAAAAAAAGAGAAATAAAATCAAATATGTTCTGAGGAGTTTTTCTTCATTGACATATTTGTCTTATTTAAAGGAAATTTGTTTTTTGTGTAAGATTCATAAAAGGAAATAACTTTGGAAAATCTTGACTTGGGGAGAGGCAAATCACAACAAAACAGATTTGAACTATTTATTTATGAAGTAATGCTCATAAAATGACTGAAGGGCTCTGAAATTTATGGATACCTTATCTCTGCTTGGTCCCCAGAATGCCCTGAACCTGGCATGAGGGGGGATTTGTTAGCATAGAGACTCAAACAAGAATAGTAAACAACTGTTCGAGGCTCTCGAAGAAATTTAACTGGCTGATTGGCAACTAAATTCTCTCACAAAAACTAGATAAATGTGATAATAATGTATTTTTATCTGGGTTTCAAAGTGTTGCAAGATGGCAACCGTGGGGAGAAATGTATGGCAGAAGAGAATTTATCCAAAACAAACAGCAATTAGCCTTTTTGCGTAAATGTAATTACAAGTTGTGTATTGACCAAGTATTTGTAATTTAAAGGAACTATCTGTGCACTCACTCTATTAAGGGAAAAGTGTTGGTGAAAAACTACTCTGACAGCCTTTAGGTTTGGCTTTGTGTTTGTTTGAAGAATGGTGTGTTCATTATTGTGATGAAAGTCACATACACATGTACGCTAAGCTGAACTAATTCATGTCAATATCAGCTTTGGATCCTTGAAGACTAAACCTTTCTCTCCTTATTTAAGAAGTAGTATCATCATAAAAGGGAGAAAATATCAGATTCATGAGATTCCGGCTTAAATTTAGCCTGAATGCCATGTGACGGTGGTTAAACCGAAGGATGTTCCAGTTTGATTTAAATGTTGAAGTCATAATGATCCATTATTCTCCTCAAATACACTGAAATGAAGGTGAGGAGCCTCTTTTGAAAGCGTCAGAAGTAGGAGACACTAAGGTTTTAGTTTAAAATAGAGCAGGTGAAAAAAATGTACTAGGGTAAAATCTTTAAACGTGAACCTGAACCCTGAAAGGAAACGAAAAAAATCTTGAAATATTTAGGATACACAGTCTTATCAACGTTTTTTGCTTGCAGGTTTTCTCATTTTGGTCTTTTCTTCCAACTAAGGGGGCAGTTTTTCCAAATTCCCATCAGGGAATTCTGCCAAAACACGATCTGAAGGCCAAAATGTTTCCCCCTTCCCGTGATGGCACGCGATATCGCCATCGCCCATCTCGACAGCACCGGCTTTGCTTTGTGTGTGTTCAAGTGTGCGTTTGCTGTCAGAGCTGTTAGTATGCAGCGGCCACCCTCGGCAATATCGTTCTGACACTCCAGCTTCCACTCGTCTCAAACCAAGCCTCCCCTCTACTTTACTTTGCTAGCATGGGTTGCGTTTCGGTGTGCGTTTCGGTGTGCGTTTTGGTGTGCGTTTCGGTGTGTGCGGATGAATGAGGGGCAGCGCATATGCTGGTGCGATACTCCCAGTGTATGGCCTAGCAACTGCTTTGTCACCGCCCGCCTCTCCCCTCCATTTTTCTTTGACATACCCATCCATAGTTAAATATCTCTCTCTCCTCCACAGCCCTCGCCCTCCTCACCCTCTGTGTAGAGGAGGAGAAGGTCAGGTATAATGATGCATGCCTGTGGCGTGGGGCTTGGCGGGTATTCGATTCCCTCTGAAACAAGCAGAGACGAGAGAGGAAAATGGGGATGTTCTTTTTTTTTTTTTTTTTTTTTTTTTTGCTTGAAAGGAAGACCAGAATCGTACCTGATCCACATCACTGTGGTGTCCAGATACAGAACTGTTAGGTTATCCTCTACACGGATAGCAATACTTTACAAATAAATCACAAATGCGTTGCATGCTTTACTGAGACATTGCTAAGCAAGTATTACTGAGGCAGGAGTAAACATTGTGTGTGTTGGGACTATTTTTGGCTGTGGAGGAGCACCGCCTCTTTCCTCTCTGTAGGAAGGGAACTCTGTGCTGGGATGCAGACCTGCCTGTTTATCGGCTGTTTATAGACACATTTAGAGTCTGATTAGTCAAAGCTATGAGAAGCCACACTTCAATAGAACATGCATGAGAGTGGAATCTGGTCACTGTTGGGATTTTTGCATCAAATTTGAACAAAAAAGATTCAGAATCATTTCCAAACCTATTCAGCCGGTTAAAGTGTCACTCTGCACTATCATCTGTCTCCCTTTTCAAGGAGCTTTCTTTTTTTTTGTTAAACTAACAAACAGGTAGCTTGCGGCCAGCTTGCTGTTTCTATGGCAACTCCCCTCTATTCCTCTCCCCTCCCATCCAAAAAAATGGGTGGGGTAACAAAAAAAGTGTGCGAAACGGAAACGAGAAAGGACGGGATAACAAGGGATGAAGAAAAGAAAGACAAAGAAAAAAAGAGAATGGAGGGATGCTCGGTGAAAGAAGAATCAATGAAGGACAGTCGGAGCCTCCCCTCCCCTCCTCTCCTCTCCCCGACTCCGTTGCTCGGCTGCTGCGCATCTTGCTCCGACAGTTTTCATGAATGACTGTTAGCAGCAGAAGATGTGAATGCCAAAACAAACAGTGCAAGACAGAAGCAGCAATCTGAGCGTATTTTCACTTGACGAGTTCCATGTTTTAGACGGAGCGCTGTGCAAAGGCGTCGACGCACAAATGAACTGCCAGGCTAAGCAGAAAATAGATGTGAGGGCTTTAATGTAATGCGTACAAACGTAAATATAAATACAGCATGTAAGGCAACAACAGTGCAATTCTAATAAGTCTGTATTTCACATAAGCACCTTAATGCTTCAACACTCTGAGGCAATTATCTGGCTTTAGGTAGTCTCCTGGAAAAAGTCTCCAGGTTTCTTAAATGACATCCCAAAGCTTTTCTCAGGATGTTAGCTGCCTTTTTTGTCCAATTCTCCGTCAGGATGAAACTGCGTCAACAATTTTGACCTCCATGCTCTGGGGCAGGATTTAGGCCTGTTGCCGCTGATTTTCAGTCCACTTCTTGAGTCATTTGGCCAAGCTAGGCCTTTTTTTCCCTCCCAGTTTCCATTCTGGAATGGTTGCCCTTGTGCCATTCTTTCATTAAGGTGTTTTCTGGTCAGGCTGCACAGAATTGTATTTTGATCAGCTGAAGATCCAGAAGCCTCTCTGTCATGTCTTTGCTGCATTTTCTCCCCAGTTTGTTAAGGACATCCATTTCAGTTACAGTTCAAAACTTCATTTGTCCTCCAGTTTTCTCTAATACCTTGAAACCCACTGCACATCTGCCTATGATTTACCAAAATGTCAGCTAAAAGTTCTCTTGAAATCACCTTGTTACTGCAAAACTACCTTTATTTTAGTCAACATTCAGATCAAAATAACATTTTTCTGTGTAAATAATATAGCTGGAGGGAAACGTCTTCCCTTGTAGTACCAGATTTTTGGGCAACGATTTTTTGTTGCTCGAAAATGCAAAAGATAACAGGGAAGTCTGGTTTGAGGGCCAGGTCAGGTTCATATTTTAGAGTGGAAGATATGAAAGTAACTCTTGACACAGTTATGACATCTGTAACGCGATCATTTCAGAGCAGGGTCTTTGAACACAAGCTGCCTGAACAGGTGGGACAGCGATGAAGTTTTGGGGCCTGACAGAAGGCCGTATTAAAAGTAACTCCCCTCAGTGTCAGCTCAGGCTCTGCCGGTTGGCTCTAGATGCCTCATCTCAGACACTCTGACTGATTTGTGCACAGCTAAATGGTTTACTGAATGACACACAATGGATGAGCTGAATAGTTTTCTTGGCAAAACGGTGGCGGGATGAATGACGGTCGTAAAAAAGGACTTCTGGAGAGATGAAAGTGGAAGCGGAAAAGAAGTCAGAATAGCGGTCGGTGAATGATGAGGACAGAAAGACAAAGTGAAAGAAGTTTTTTTTTAATCTTTACATTTAGACGAAATGACTAATTCAGTTTCTAATAACAGGAACCGAATGAGATTTTGGCAAAAAGATCAATATAATGAAATCTAATTTACATTTTGATGGATGCTTAGTTGTACAGATTGCAGGGGGAAACCCAATTTATTTGGTTGAAAAGCAGTTTGTTAGACATCTAGGTGTTATCGGCCAACTGCTGTTTCTGGGCGGAAAAAAGCAAAAACCATCTAAAATTGATACAATTTTAAAAGCTATACGCTACTTTAATGGTTGCATTTTTCAATTAAATTGCTTTCAATTTCAATTGCTTTCCCATCTCTTTTCTTTTTAGCAGACAACCCGGGCCTCTCTACTTGAAGGGTCACGTCTTCCTGTTTTTGTGTGTTTACACCTTTTTACTCTTCAGATTTTGAATCTTTACTATAAACCAGTAACTGAAAAGTTTCAAATTGACCTACTGTCCAAAAATGCCAGACTGAGTGAGGTCGAACCTGGGTACATGGGATAAGAAATAGATGAATAAATGAGTAAAAGATTGGAATGTGACTCTTGGGACTTTGATTGCATAAATTTCCTTTTATTTCAGTTATTTGTCTGAATGTTCTGGAGTCCAAAATGAAACAGAATTGTGACCTCACAGATTTGACAAAAGATGATTGTTTTGGCAGCTACTTTGTGTCGTCCTTACTATCGGACTGTTTCTGGAGGGAGGGTTAATTGCTTATTCTATCATGTAGCTGGTCCGCTTTTCCGCAGCCTTTTGTGCACATGCATACTCTGGCGTTAGTTTCTGGCACAGCGTGGCAGCTATACAAAGACAGAAATGCTCGAGTGTGTACCTCATAAATCTTAATCAAGGACCAGCAGAAGAACTCGACATGATACATAAAAATGAGGCTTCGGTTTTGAAAACACCACGAGCTCAATACTGAGTCTATTAACAAATTGTTTTTGGACTTCTTCTGTTAAGTTTGGGCATCAAAGCCTCTTTTAAGTCATGAAGCTGTTAAGTTAGATAAAAGCTATTAAACCACCTTTTTTTAGTTTAGGTGAAAAGGTTACAGTTTGCTTTAATGTACACTGCTCCACAGCATCAATCAATAATAATGCAGAAATAGGATTTTCTTCTACCATATGTGTACCTGGGTTGTTTATATCCTAACCTAAAATTTAGTTTGTTTTTTGATGGTATGCATGATATACCTACCATGACGATGCATACCAAAAAAATCTGAAATATTTGTGCTCTCTGTTCAAACCTTGAATTTCTGTGGCTTTTAAGAAGCTAGAAATGTGAAATAAAGCTGGCTGGAACCTTGAGCCTTTATCTTTTTAAAATGTACATTACTGATTACACTACTCAGTTTATCAAAACGAGGAAAGCCAAGACTTAAGACGGTGTCACTCTTGGACAGAAGCTTAATTTTCTGGAGCAGCAAGACCACATGCAGTTTGTCTTAATGAAACGAGGCCGAAATCTTAATAGAATCCAGGCTGAATTACACAAACGGATGAGGAACTGCAGCGGATGTCATTGAGGTAATCGAGAAAACTCCTTCCAGCTCCGATGAGTCACTGGATCGCTGTCAGCACTGACAGGACATCAGGCGGACAGGAAATACGACCACAGAGCGTGACTGTACAGCATCTGCTGCCAGTCTCTGGACCAGAGCCCAGCGCTCTTTTCAATGTAATTTTTACCGTCCGACACCATCCTTCCTGGCTAAGCAACAGAAACCAGTCGATTAAAAGAAAATGTATGTAAATTGAGCAGGTGTAATGCCAGTGAAATGAGCGTACTCACCGGCTGTCTGCGATGACCGGAAGACCATCCCCCCCCGGAGACCACCTCATGTTTTATACTCCTGAAAAATCTTTCTCAGCGAAGAGTGATAGACTTTAAATAATTTGAAACTGACCTTGTTGTAGACAGATTCTTAGACGGATGGGCAGCAACAGGTTATCACTCATCTATTTGCTAATGCCTTCCCTCTTTGGCAAACAGAGACACTTGGCTGTGGAATAGTTAAAACATTTACTTTTAAAGAGGTGATCACACATGCTATTAGCTGCTACTTACCCTCTACATGTATTTTAAAGCGGAATCTAATTTTAAGATCTGCTAATGACCATATTTTGTAGTCTTTTCTTTTTTTATTAAAAATGTAAAACTTTCACATTGAAGATATAAAGAAGAGTGTACTTTGAATTTTGAGGAAAAAATGTATTTGAGTCTTATAATCTTTTTTTTTTTTTTACACTTCTAATGGAAACAATGGAGGTGACAGTTATAAAACATTGCCAAACCTTTTTTCCCAGGACTTCTGAGGGCCAATCATATGTTTGTTTGAATTTGAACAGTTGAAGCTCTTTAAGGTTCATGGTAAAAAAGGCTGGAGATAAGTATTCATTTCACAGAATTCTTGTCAGTGGAGTCATCAATAACAATGATTTCATAACGGATCGCAGAAAGGCACTTAAAACTTCATCCATTCTATTTTGTATCCAAGTCTGATTTAAGTTGAGCCAATATGATTTATAGCAGACAACCATTCATAAGCTACTGCTTGCAAACGCAGCAGTTTCTATGACGTCGACTTATCGTTTACTGGATGTACATTTAACCTAAGTGAGCCGATGTGCTGAGCTGAATGAAAACAGCAAATCGTGTTTCTCTTAAACAGTCTTAAGAGAAATGCTGCGCCCATTTAAACCATTGTAATACTTCAATGCTATGTCAGCCACAGAGTAACAGTAGATTGGATAGCTTATTCAATTTCCTTTTGTTCCGACCCCTGTACCTTTTTCTGCCCTCTAGGTGAAACGGGTGGCGTGAAATTCCACGGCGTTGACCTCCTCCAGCACTCCCCGTCCCCATCCCCCTGTCCCGGCCACACTTTCCCCCAGCAGCCCCACTCGCTGGAGCCTGTCACCGACACTCCCTCGCAGAACCTCCCACTGAGGAAAACGCACTCTAACCTTGACACAACAGGTGTGTGCTTATTTATGTGTATTTTTCTGTCCCCTCCGGTTCACTCAGCTTTTCATGAGCTTTGCATGAGTGTCAGAGATGGTGTCAGAGATGGGGCAGAGGAAAACGGAAGGAGCAGGCAATCTCAATCATTTTTCCATTGAGCTTTTATTTATGTTAGTATGTAGTTTGTAGCTTGGAGTCCTTTTTTTTATTGGCGTGATATTAATAGGACACATTTGGAATTTAATGAAGTGTAATTGATTGAGGATTGTTTTACAATGAATTAGATTGAATTTGGATTAGATTAGACTATATTTTGATGATTTTGTCACAACTATGATAGAGACTGAAATCCTGTTCCATCCCCCTCTTATCAACAGATAACACTTTGGGCCAGCGGCCCCCAGACCAGGCTCTCCTGGGAACTATGGACCACTCTGGGCTGCTGTGCTCCAACACACCCTCTGCCACCTGGAACGGACCAAAAGGTTCCACCTTTTCCCCCGGAGCGTGGAATGAACATTACAGTTACAGCATGAGCAAAGGCCCAGCAGTTCCTCCCAAGCAGCATTCCGTCATCGGTAATGCAGGAGGGACGCAAGACGGGGTGATGTTTGTGAGCTCAGGACAGTTAGGGAGTACGAATGCCAGCTCCTTCACATCTATCACAGACGCCTCTGGGAGAACAGGAAGCAGCGTGCCAGGGATTTCCTTGGCATCCGTCATGATGGGGAGGCGGAGTGACACTGAAGGGGCCTCAGCTGACGGAAGTAGAGGTGGTGGTAGGGAGGTAGGGCGAGGGAGGGAGAGATCGGCACGATCCATAGCAGCACAGAACGCCTTCAAGTTCCGGGAGCGTTCGCTTTCCACGCCTACAGATACTGGATCCTTTGGTTTTACAGAGGGTGGCATTGGACCGGACGGGAATATTGTATCTACGGGGAATGGCAATCCTATGGGTATGGACCACCAACAGGATCATCACAACTTCCTTGGTCTCGGTGAAAACTATGCTCTTCTTTACCCAAGAGGAAGCTCGGAAGACAGCGCTAGTACAACAGACACAGTCTCTGTCACAGCCTCGGACTACAGCACAGAAGGTCGGTTGCGTCTCCGCTCCCGTTCCATCTCCCTCAAGAAATCCAAACGCAAGCCCCCACCTCCCGTGAGGAGTGTCTCTCTTATGAAAAACCTTGGAGAAGCTGAGGGGAGAATGCGGCACGAGGGCGGTCTTTACCGAGATGGCCGGCCGAAGAGCCTACACATACCCAGGGACCACTTCCCTGACTTCCAACCAGATTTCCTCGTGCCCAGCTCATCTAGCTCTTCTAAAACTAGTGTTGGTGAACGGGAACTGGGCCAACGGAGGAATAATGGACCACCAAGTCTGGAAGTCCAAGCACCAGAAAAGGAGGGGGAGACTGAGATGACCTTCCCCTCTCACTGGCAGTTGGGAGAGTGGAAAAACAATGACCCATACAGGTAAAAAAAAAGAAGAGTTTCAGCACTTCCACTGTGGTGCAATTATTTTTTATTCCTGTTTATTTGTTTTCATGCTATTCATTAGTAACTCTTTTTTTCCTTGTTTTTTTCCCCCAGGTCTTTGTCGGGCTCCAGCACAGCAACTGGTACCACAGTAATCGAGTGTATGAAAGTCAGAGGAAGCTCTGAGTCCCTTCTTGACTCTCCCTCCACCTCTAGGGCTACTTCACCCTCACAGCTCTCAATTGAGACAGATGTCAAGGCTTCCTCTCCCTTAAAGCCACCAGGACTTATGTCACCATCAAGTGGCTATTCCAGTCAATCAGAAACTCCCACCCCAACCGTTCCTCTCAGTCATCTCGCAGGCCAAGGAACAGTCGGAACAGGGTGTAAGATGCGCCCCAAGATCCCAGAGAGGAAATCATCCCTACCATCACCAAAGGACCCAGCTGCTAGATCTAGATTGTCCTTTGAATTGCCTGGGAATGCACACCTGGAACTGTCATCAATCAAGCCAAAGCAAAAAGCCAGCAGGCGGCATTCTGACACTTCCACAGCAGCAAAACCGGGAAAGATTGGCCCCAACTCTTCACAGGCATTGCCGATGGTCACCCAGAATGAGTTAAAGACCATTCGACTCCGCTCTGTCTCCCGTGGCGACCTAGATGACTGCCCTGATGGGGCCTCTGACACCATAGAAGAGGAACAGCATGGCCGAGATCTTGTCGAAGACCCCAGCCCACCTCCCACACTACCAAAACCGAAGCCACCTGTTGCAGTCAAGCCTCCTTTGCCCAAACGACCCGTAAACCTACTCCTTAAGTCCCCCTCTCCATCCTCCACCTCCCCCCTTGCCCTGGACTCGCCTCCTGCTTCACCTGTGGAACGGCCAGTGCCTTTAGGCAACATCTACAAAGTCATGAAAAAGCCTAAACCCAAAAAGCCCCCACCGCAGACTCTAGCAAGTCCTGCTGGTCTCGCAGATTCAAATTTTGCTACTGTGCCACAGGTTTCTTATGATCACTCATTTCTCCCTCACTCTCAGTCCCTGTTTGATCTCCCCCCTCTGCCCGATCCCCAACCTCTTCTGGAAGACCCACTCTTGGAGCCTGAATTTGATGCTGATCCCGACACCCATCTGGGGCCTGGGGATGGAGGCTCACTCCCATCTCCCTGCAGTAGTCAGGAGGCCCCAGAACTTCAGGACAAGAGCAAGACACTCCCTTCACGGATGACAATCTCTTGCCTGGCAGAGCTTTCTGACAAAAAGAAACCCAAGGTGAGAAACATTTGACCTATTTAGCTTTGGGCTTGTTGAGAAGCAGCTCATGTCTTAATTTTCAGTTCCTCTGATATTTAGCTAAATACTCATATCTTATACTTATAGAATTGTATAATCATATCTCTCAGTAAGTAAAATGCTATACTTTCTATCCAGGTCCCTCCTCCAGTCCCCAAGAAGCCAAATGTCCTGCTTCTCCCCACATCTCTTCATTCCTCCACAAATGGCAACACAGACCGTCAAGTGCCACAGACTGAGAGTCCTGTGGGCCTGAGGTCCCCAGTAGGAATGTTTCTACCCGATGATATTCCGGCTTCCCCTAGTGTTCTAGACATGTCTGAGCAGGATGAGAACTACTTGGGAACAGATGAAGAAAGTTCAAAAGAGTCCTCACTGCAGTCATCGCTCCAAGATTCGTCCCTCACAGAGCTGGAAGGGAAGATGGCCAGCACTGGTATTGGATCAGGTATGTTTATATGATGTATATATGATGTCCTGATGTCTTGATAACATAATCATGATACGATTATGTTATCGGGAGGATAACAGTTCAAAATGTCTGAATAATGCTTACTTACTTGGTTACTTGGCAGTTTTGTGTTGTTCATCTCTACACCTAAATTGTTTTATTGCATGTCAGAGTCTGGCAAAGAAATCCTGTTGCAAATCCAATTAAAATGAATAGGCTCGTCTGTGCCAACTTTTAACAACTGTTAAAATTCTAAATCAGACACTCTACTATGTTTTGGGAAATAACATAAAAGATTAGTGCAAACTGAAAAGTTAGTTAAAAAATGTTTGTTAAAGGTGAGTAAAATGCATGTTCCTTTTAATAAGAAAAGGAAATAATTGAATAATAGATATGGAAAAGTTAAGTGTACAGCAAAATAGAATCAAATGAAAGCCTGCTAACCTTTCTGGAAAATAAGCTAATGTTGCTAATATATTGTGATGTGCTATGCCGGAAATGAGCAAAGTCGTCCTACAAGTACAAATACGATGAGAAATATTCTGGGAGATAATGTTAAAGTTTTACAATAGGTGCTTACCTCTTGACACAATGTATAAATGTTCCCATGACATGGCTCAACTTCTCCACATGATTTGAATATTAACCTGATTCTGTCAGAAAATATTCCTCAACTTTTCAAAATGATTTGAGAACGACAACATAGAAATGTTTACAATGTTCTTAATCCCGATGATGTCATTTTATTTTAACATGATTCTCAACGTATTTGATTCAGATGTCTGCACACTTGCATGATGGGAATTAGCTTATTGAAACTAAAGCAGACATCAAAATTTTTGTAATGTGTCTGGCAAGACAGAGGAGTGTATGTAATTGTGATCTGTATGTTCTGATTTGATTTTTCTGGCTTGCGCAGATGACTCAGCTGCCAATGAGAAGACTATTCTCCACATAGTGGAGGAAACGGATGACGACGTATTGGCTAGCACACCTACAACACACACAACGGAGGACCTGTTCACCATCATACACAGGTTTGAACATACTCGTTTGTCCAATGCATATTCACAACATGTTAGCATTTCATTAAAAGGCTGGTGTAAAGTAACAGCTATTTCTCACATAACGAATGCTTTTAGCCAACACCAAGCTTGTTAGGCTGGTTTTTATAACTCCGAACATCCGAGGAAACGTCTATTGTCTCACTGTGAAGTTGTGGGTTGGACAGAGTATAAGGTTTCCTAGCAACAGCTACATGTAGAGCAGGTGACTGCATGGCCAGACTCCCATTTTATCCTGAGATCCCCCCTCACACACACATGCACACACGCCCACACACACATATGGATGTTAGCGCATACAGATAACCACAGGAGAGCTAGTCTCTAAGCAACAAGTGTTCATGATTTTACCCTGTGTGGTGCTGAAAATAGCTTGAAAGGCACAAAAGAAAGGAAGACCAGAAGTAAATGCTTTCATCTCATCCATGAAAGGACGGAGGTCCTCCTGTAGCTACAAATATTTTAGTTTTTGTACTCTCTAAAAGTGACTCATCTGGCTCAAGGGGTGAATATTAAGTAAAGATTTCAATCAGATTCAAATTAGGACTCAAAATGAGAAAGTTGGAGCTCAAGGGCCCTCCAATCACTCTAAATTTAGGCAAATTGAAGAGCAGACAGTTGGGTTTCTGAATGCACGACAGAGCATCAGGATGAAACTATCACAGTGCGGTGAGGTTAAGGTTTCAAGTAGTGGGCCGGTCCCAGGAAACCAGCGATACCCTGCGCAGCGGCCCGGCTTGCAATGGCAATTCCTCTCTATTAACAGAGGCCTGGACCCTGGAAGCCCTCCTCTGAAGTACTGATTAGCGACCATCCAGTGTCGAGAGTTCATGATTATAAGTTATAACAAATTAACATATTAGATCTGGTAGTTGCCTGCAGTTTTCCTGTTAGTGTAAAATTCGTTGCCAATTTACATGTATCATAACAGCTCTACTTGAAATATCTGAAGGTGTGTTTCTCCTTCTTTTTACTCTGACAGTCTTTAATCGGTGTCACTTCTTTCAGGTCCAAGAGAAAGGTTCTGGGTCGGAAGGAGCCATCCGACTCCTTTGGCAGCCGTCAGAGCCTGGTGTCGCCGGTGAAGCACAGCACCAGCGGGAGCGACATCCGAAATTTAACCCTGGGGAGCAGCCAAAGGTCGAGCTCCCGCAACGAGAACTTCATGGCGCTGCTTCAGAAGAAAGGCAGCAAGGCCTCGAGCGGAGGGGCCAGGGTCTCTGCCATGGAGCTTTTGAAGAGCACAAACCCTCTGGCGCGACGCGTCACGGAGTTTTCAGCCACCGCGCCGTCAAATGCCGAGGGAAGAGAGGCACCGTCAGGGAGCGAAAGACCCAACGACCAGTGAACGGACGTATCAATTACAGATGGTAACCAGCTTTGTGTACTGTTGTCAAAGCAATCAATCAATTCTACAATCTGGTTCCCACTGAGGATGGAGCCCCCTGTCATATATGTCCAGCTGGACCGCTCCAACTACTGATTGACCATTTGCACTGTCCAATCACATTGGAGCACATACTTGGACAAAATGGTCCTTCCCAGTGTTGGAGCGCCACGGTTACCAGTTAAATCTGACCTTTGGAGACATCAATGGAGGGAAAAGGTTGTACTCGTTTCATGTTCAATGAAAAATTGAAGTTTTGAGGTCATATTTTCCTCACTGGCAACAAATTCAGTGTGGAGTTCGGACGATATGATGGACGGGTGGAGATGACACTAGGAATGTAAAGATATACTGTGGATATCTTCACTCCGGCTGCAGGATACAGACAACAAAAGTCCACGGTAAATATATCCGAATCTGTAACTATACTACAGAAGGCGAGCAATCGATTTCCCAAGAGATAAGAGGAATGAGACCAAGATATGAGGACATCCGTGATTCAGCAGCACTACAGTTCTGACTACTGTAGTCCAATGAGCACTAAAGGGCAGATCATCGATGGTGTAACCGAAGAAGGAAATAAGCTCCAACCTTTGATGCCCTGGCTCCTACTTCTTTCTATGGTAAATGCCATACGACAGCTGCCCTGTAAATGTCCAACATACAATTGCAGGATTTCCTGTGACAAAACAAACTGCATGGGGGCTTTTGCCACCAAAGACGAGGCATGAGCATGTCACATTTTGTTGCTCGTGCTGTGAACACATACCTGGACCTTCATTAAGCATTCCACAGGGACAGCAAGCAAACGGACCACACTTTGGAACGCAAGCACTTTTCTTTTCTTTGATCTTGGAGGTTGTTTCCATGGCACAATCTCTCTGTATATTCCATCAATCAACACCTTTTAAAACTTTGTTGATATATCATTTGTTTGCTCCAATTTTTTTTCTTATCCATGCAAGATGGCCACTTACTGTACATGTTTAATGGGAATCATGCTGTATTTATCGTGTACAAAGATAAATGTAAAGCATCTATCGACAAAGTTCAGACACAAAGACTTAAAATAGTGTACAAAGAAGCAAGACGCTCAGACTGGAGACTGTCCAAACAATGAAGGGAAAGGCACACACAATCCAACAAATGCGCAGACGGCCGAGTAATGCCGTGGAAGAGTGTCCAGTCTTAACAATTGTGTGTTCCTAAAAATGTGTGCGCAGACGAAATCACGCCTGTTGAATTTCTGTTCAGAGAGTATGAAGCAGGCCTGGTTGTTGAACAGGGTTTCTATTCACATTTGGTCTCTAGTATTGGGACCAAAAGACTGTTAAAACCTACAAACAGACCACAGGGGACCTATCAGTGTGTGTGTGTGATATAGGAAAGCCAAGAATAAGGTAGGAGAAACAAGCAAACAGAGCAAATAGAGAAAGAGTGCATAAATGCGTGCCTGATTTTGTGTTTGCCATTTTTTTATGCTTCTTTACTACTGGTCATACACTTTTCTGCATAATAATGTGTGAGTGTGTGTGCATTCCCACCCCTAAGACTCAAGCAGTCCCAATATCCGGCTGTCTTGGAAGTCCTCATGGCATTTTTGACATTTTTTTGTGTGTGTTGGTTGTGTAACTTTCAGCCTGTTTGGTATGTTCAGGGTTTCATGACACAGTTTAAAGTCACTCGATGTGACTAAAGGAAGTGTGACGGTAGTGCCACCTTTATGATGAGGAGATTTTTTTAGATTTCTGATTGTCTAAGCTGCCCTTTTCTGCCATCAGATCAGCGAGAGTGGGTCAGATCTACCCAATTACCAGAGGACCAGCCTATTCACCTGAATTTAAATGTGATGTTATCAAGTCTTTAAAGACATATTTAGCTGTATGGGATAAGAAGGTTTTAGGCAAAAGTAAAAAAATAAGAAAAAAACAAAACATGTATTCTTTGTGAAGGTGAGTAGTGATACCTTAGGAGTGCCATCCTATGAACAAGCACTGCCAGTTTAAGCTAATAGTGTTGGGATATACAGCTTGACCGTGTCCTTTTAGCCTATCGTCCGATTATCTTTTTGTCTTGTTATTGGTTGTCCTGCAGTGCTCATTGTGCCATCTGCTTTTCAGCTCTTCATACTGTCGTCACACAAAGCACTGGACCTAGCAGCCCGCCTTTCACGCTCACACTCGCAGGGTTGTTTAATCCTTAGAATTTCTCAATGAGAATTTGGGAGTGGAAAAAAAACAGACAAAAAAAAAGCTTCCTGCAACTACTAAGATGTTCTGGAACTTTAAAAGATTCTCAGACCAAAGAACTTCCTGATCCTAAATTTTTTCCCCAAACCTAGATGATTCCAGAGCCAAAGAGATTCCAGAACCTTGTGGATTGCAGTGGAATCAATGGATTAGAGATTATTGATGGAGGATAGTTCCGGAGCCCAAAGGACTCCGGAAGGAATGTCTGCCAGGGGTTGTAATTCTAGAATGAAGAGACTCTGCGAGGATTCTAAGCTACTTAGCCGGTGAGTAGCTTAGAATAGCCGGGATGTGGTTGAAAATGACCTCCTCCCGCATCTGTCTGCTCGCACAGTCGCAAAGCCACACCGCGACATGAAAGAGGTTCTGTTTGTTTTGCCCTTCTCCTCTCGTGCTTTCGCTCTCTCGTGTCTCTCGTCGCAGAGAGGAGTTGACAGTCTGCGTCACCCACCTCTCCACCGCCCCCCCCCCCCACCCCTTTCTCCCCCCTCCATCCCTGCTGGAGCACCCTCCATCTGCACCTCTTCCCCTCTGCTTTAACCTCTCCTCCGGCACGCTGCGGTCTCTTTCTTCCCCCCACCCCGATCCACAACATCCTAGTTCTCCTCCTTGTAGCATCGCCTCTCTTTACCTCTCCCTCCTTCTCCAGCTCCTCTCTTCACAGTCCTGCCCCTCTCCCTTTTCCTCCTCTTCCTCTCCACCTCTCTGCATTCAGTCTATGCATCTGAGCTCAGCAGAACACGCAACACCGGGTGAATGTCAATGAACGGACTGTTAAGCAAATAGATGTTGTTCATTTGAGAGTGCAACAAAAACATTTTCTATAAGCTCCTTATGTGAGGCTCTCTCCTTATTTTTTATAGTTTTCTTTAGTAGTCACATGAAATTCCCATGAACGAATGAGCGAATGCGCGAATGAATGAGCAGAGGATTTTTTTTTTGTTGAAGGACCTTTGACTTTTTGACTGCAAACGAAGCTCCCTCCACTTCTGGATTACTGTGTGGACAGTCTGTTTAGCAGTGGTTCTGCTCGTCACCCGACGTAGCTCTCCTCCACCCCCCCCCCCGCATGGACGGACTGTGTACATTTTAGACACAACCTTTCATCTCCTGACTCCTAATTGGAAAACTTATCTCCTGGTGCTACTGAGTCGGAGCTCCACCTCGTGGATGGAAAAGAAGCAACCCACGCATACAGCAACAACAGAGCAGTGAGGACTTAAAAAAAAACAAAAGAAACAAAACCCAAACGAACTGTCCAATCACATGCATCTTACTTCAACAGGTATCCTTCAGGTATCCCATCATCCCGGAATAATGATTTACAAATTGCATAAACGATCACCATTTATGACGACTTATCAAGTGACGCTTGTTTTAAATATTTAGTGAATGAAAAGATAAATCTATAAAACTCTATTGTTTACCTTGTATACTGAATTATGGGCTTGTTCATGCAACGCCTTTTTTTTGGGGTTTGTTTGTTTCTTTTTAACATTCTATTACATGTTTTTCTGATTTCCGCTGCCTTTGTTGTGCACAGGTAAATATCGGGCCAAAAACTGCAGCCGTAACAGAGAGCACTTAACATTTAGTCTGATCAATACGTGCCAAACCCCCCCCAAACGGGTCACAGAGAGGGTCAAACAAACAAGGGAGATGAGTATTTCCCAGCAGAGAAGGGAGACGCATATTGTCCTGATATCGACAGAGTATGTGTCTTTCCACCACGTTTTTATTTTTTTATTTTCTATGTGTTTTTACTCTGTGGACAGATGGCAGAATCTCGTGAAGCGGGAAGCCAGGAAAAGGAGTAAACGAGCTCAGACACATGGCCACACCGGTGGAAAGGAGGCTATCCGTTATGCACGGAAGATGTCATTTACTATAAACAAGAGCAAGCCACAGTTTTTCCTAGAATTTCTACCCCCCAAAAAACAGATCCACTTCAGGGGCAGAAACCGAATCACCGAGCTAATCATCAGAATGTGCTGCTACAAAATCCTGCCGGCGCATGACTGCCAACGCGCAGCCAGAGTTTTGGCCCTTGCAAAAGCTATTTATCAACAGATTTGAGAGGAGGAACTCTAAACCAACCAAAGTGGCGAGCTATTCTCTGCCTTCCGAGCCACTCTACCTCCAAGAAAGGTCTGTACAGCTAAATGATCCATAACTAAAATAAGAATTTAACGAGTGTAGCGTCATTTCTGGATGAGGTGCGGGAGGAGACCTATTTGAAGGTTTAATTCTGAATGTCAGGAACAACATGCTAATGTTGACACACTCATTTAGAGGAAAAATGTCCTCTTTTGTCTTATTTTAATTTTTTAACACGGATTCAGAATATGTGAAAGGAAGTGTTGTAATAACTCACTAACTCTTTGTTTTTTTACCAGAGAACATGAAAAAACAAGAGAAGTATAGAAAGCTTGGAAAGGGCAAACAGAAGGATGCCAGTTTACCCTTCTAGGCTATACAAGGGAAACTTTTTTTTACATCAAGTTTTGTTAACAAGTTAAATTCCCTCTAGGCCAGCTCACATGAATGAAACATCCCATCTAAATCTCAGAAATCCCCTTTTCACACGAGTCATAGGCACTTTGTCAAAGACAAAGACTTTGTGGAGAGATCCACCACGAGTAGCACAAACCTTTCAAACCACCTTAACTGAGAAGCAACGGAACAGTGGAAGAGAAGCAACGGGCAGTCGACGGGTTAAAAATTAACATTGGTCACTAACAGGGCAAGCTAGTGTCATGGCAGGCGCAAAGGAGTGGAAGCCCATACAAAAATCAAAAATCCAACCAGCTAACAATTAAAACTGATGCACAGAAAATGATTTCCTAGCTGGCTAAATGCTGAGGGAATCTATAATCACCAATTTAAGACAACATAATGGCAAAAACTCAGAATCCATAAAGGATTTGAAACACAAGTTTTCAGCTTATAAACTGACACCAAAACTAAACGGGAGTTAAATGTCAGAAACTAAAAGACAAAAACTCAAAAGCGAAGACTCTCAAAAAGGTACTTCAGAGTTGCTTGCGCTGGATTTAATTTTTTTAATTTTATTTGATTTTTTTAGCATATTGACTCTTGACATGTCACAAAACCTTGTCCACTCAACAATTAGGGTTCCCTAAAATGTATCACACAAATGATAACACAAATTATTTACTTTTTAATATAGAGCATCAAATATGTGATTATAAGGACACTTAAGTCTTTAGGTTTCTTATGCAGTTCATCTTTTGCTTTATAAGTTATAAGGTTTAGAATTGATATTTTCTCATTTTTAATCTTAACCTTATGATGTACCAAATGAAATACGTTGCACACTAATTTGCAGCAGCGTCTCTAAAAACATTTTAAGTGATCAAATTCTATGTTTGTTAGTTGCAATGTGGAGTTGAAGCTGGTATTAAAACAGCGTGGGGCTGAAAGCAACGGTGACACATCTTCTCCTCACCTCAAACTGACAGGCTATCAACAGAAAAGGCTTCAAAATTGGATTTCCTGGCGTGTTCCATTCAGAACCCTTTTGATGGAAAAATATATATATAAAACTAAGCAAAAAAGGTTGCTTAATGTGACGGCGCCAGTGGGTTTCAGTCACAAATGTTCACACTGCTTGGTTCAGGTAGCTCATCTTTAAACGTGTTCTCTATACAGAGCTATTTCTATATCCAGATGTAGTCAACAGCTCAAGATTTATTAGATTTAAAAAACAAAAAAAAAGAGTTTTAAGATGAAAATGAAAGAATAGGGAAAAAGCCATGATGAAGCTTGCGGCTGTAGGTTTGGGCCCATAACTTTGTTGTTTTAGGAGTGCCACATGAGAGACATTTACCTTCTGACTGGACATCCTGTCCGTCACTACTAAACTCCACCCCTCTGCCAGTCCAAGCAAAGTAAAACAAACGTACCCTGTACCCAGTTTTAAACCCCATCGCTGTTGCTGTGCAGGCAGCTTATAAAGAGACAGAGATGATCATTAGAAAGACATGGAGAGAGACCAACAGAGTTATTGGAATTGTTCTATTTTTTTTATTCCTCATTAAAAAAAAAGACGAAAAAAATAAGACATATTTAAAGGAATATTCCGTGTATGTAATAAATAGCCTCTGTTTTCTTGACCTATCCGATGGTGTGATTTATAGCTGCAAGGTGGTGTCTCACAACGCTTTCCTGTGCAGCTATGCAATGCCAATGTGATGAAATTATTATATCCTTATAAATAAATTATTTTTCTTGTTTAAAAAAACGGACGTTTTTGTTTGTGTGCCTCCTTCCTTCCTTTTGTTTTAGTTTCCGAGGTCAATACGGTCTGAGGCACCACCTGTGTTGTTAATTTGCTGTTTCCCTTCGAGCTCAACAAAACAGCTTAAACCCTGAAAGTGTAATTTATTCAAATACAGTGTGGTTTAGGTTCATAATACAATATAATACATTAGCATATAACAGATTACAGTTTATGCTATCAATCTGAAACGTATGAAAAATTAGTATAATGTTGGAATATGAAGTCTAAAAGGGCGAAATCTGATTTTTGGTGCCAATGGAAAAACCTATTTAAACCAAATATATTGCAAAATCTATAAATCCAGGTGTTTTAGGTCTTTCCTTTTCTTGTCTAAACATAAGAGTTGCAGTCTGTCTAGGACGTTTGATCTGAGCTTCATTTATTTAACAGGCACTCTTACAACCTTACTGAATGACAGTGAGCTACATTTGATAATGGGGGAATGGCAGAGTGCCATGTGGAGTGTCCCCCAAAAAAGCAAAAGGGCTGTGTTTGGATTAATTTGTTCTTTTATTTTGTGTTATATTAATTAATGACATATCAGTTGACGGCAGCCTTTTCTGCTGACACGCAAGCTGCCTTTATTCTTTCCTCAGGAGTCACATGAGTTCACTATGTAGAGACCAGAGTAAACCTTGGCCATAAGTTTGGCCTCGTATAACTCATAACAGCACGAAACCTCGTCTGGACCTCGAAAGTGACGACCCCCATAAAGACAGCTGCCTCTGACAAGGCCAGTTCTAGTTGAATTTTAATTGACTTAAAAAAAAATCTCACTGTGAATTGTTCCATGATGTTTGGACATTATGAGTATAGAGTAACAGCAAGCACATAACACACGCTCTCCCACTTGTGTCACTTTTATGTTTGTGTGGGTGTCTGGAGTCCTCTAGTGGGTGAATAATGCCAGTGCAGCCTAGACTAATAGTTTCGGTGTGTGCACATCCATTTATGTTAACAATAACGTTACACTGCTACAGATTTTACGCACATTGACATTCTGCATGAATTAAAAAAAAAAGCTTTACATCAGAGGGAACCGACATTTGAAATCTTGAAGTACATTAATTACACAAGATGTAACATTGGGTCGATGACACAACAGACCTCTACCAAGGATCTGCTGGAAAAGAACGATCACAAACCAGATAAACAGAACCTCAAGGGCACATTTGAAACAGACATAGTAACACTGTTAAATTATATAAAGTGTACCAAGCTGGACCTCCAAAGCCACCATATTCTTTCTCTGCTTTTATCTCCTTTCTCAGTCATATGGCAGCTGCATAATCTGTATTAGCATGAATGCAAGTAAGAAGTCCTCATCTCAGTTATGTCACAATATTATCTCTTTGTTTAAACAACACACTGTTTTAACAGATGTTTTTCTGGATTTGAATTCACATTCAGTAGTGTGTGAATTAAATCAAATCAATACAATGTGACACAAATCTAAAACCCATTTTGCATTTTATTTAGGTTTTTTATTTTTGATGTTATGTATTGCGCAGATAACAAATATGGTTAGCTATGCTATCAACACTGTAGGCCAAATAATCCAATACATATAGTTTGCATACGATATGATGCTATTCATGGAAACAAGCTTAGGCCTTTTAGAGGATAATTTTAATCACATTGAGTGTAGAGGACTTCTCTCCACCCATAACATACAGAGAAAAATCCATTGTTCACCATTTATTATATTGATGTGTATTGATTCATTTAAAATTTCAACTTGACGTCATTCATAGGAAAGCCAGTGTCATTCATCAATAGCTGATTTCACTGGGACCAGGAAACCTGCAGGGGAGAAAGCTAAGTACTATAGTGTTTTTAAAAATGTTTTTTTAACTTTTAACTGCTTTCCCCCTCACAGATTAGCCTTCAACCCAACTGTGGAGGACTTGAAACACGTATGATAAAGGTAATAAACTATTTCAACACCGTAGGGACTATTAAGAGTTGGTTATATGTTTTGAGGGCGACCCTGTTAGCAAACTTGATTCTTATGTTCACGTTATGGGGAATAAGAAGAAGTCTCTGAGGCAGAAAGTGGATATCACGTTTAGGTTTCAAAGTCCTGGGCATTCCTTCTGTGTCATCTGCTGTGGTTAAAATTAACATTATTCTTTATTTGGACTCATTTTTTAACACCTTAGGCTGTTCTATTTGTGAAGAATACACTCATGCTCATTCATATTGTTGTTTTCATTAAGACATATGTCAAAGGATGATGTGCTCCCCAACCAATATCTGAATTATCAGAGCTCATTGTGTAATTCTGAAGACTAAAACCAAAAGTTAACCGTCAAGCATCCCTCTGGGGATGTGGAAATGAAGGTCCTCATTCCCACTATCGGAAATTTGTGGTGGTACTCATGAAGATATACTTGCAAGTATGTATACACACACACAAACATACACAGAGGGTAAGACATTCTCATCAGGGGCAAACTAACAAGTAACATTCTTCCTGTTTCTGACAGCAGAGAGCAGGCCGAGCTATCTATAACCAGCCACACACGTACACACGTACACACACACATCTGCTGCCACAGGAAAACTGACAGCAATCTGCAATCAACACAGGGCTGCACACACATTTACGTCTCGTGCTTCTCCACAAAACTAATTTCGTATTTAACACAAAATCAAATGTCATTACAGAAAAAAAGCACGAGATGGTAAAGCAAAGAAAGAGCTATGCAAAGGATGATGGAGGAAAAAAAACAATGAAGCAAAATTGGTAGGAAAAGAAGTTTAGACGGGTAAGGGAGAAGAGAAAAAACAAAAAAAGAAGAGGAAGTGAAGCTAAAGTACGAAATGGGAGGGACATAGACTGAAGTCATGCGGGGAGGAGGAGGGGGAGAAAAAAGGTTGAGGGGGTGGCAAGTCAAGTGCAGGAGGGAGGAGAGAGAGCGGCAACATTAGAAAAAGCAGAAAGAAGAGAAGCAGCCACAGTGGAGGAAAACGTCTGTATTTTGGAGTACCTGAACATGACCCCCCCGCCCCCCACCCCACACCCCCACTCACAACACACTGACTAATGCTTCTGCTGAATGGACCGACCATGCTCATGTTGGCTCTTCCAGCTGTGGATCAACGTGCGCGCGGGGACATGCATTTCTACTATGCGGTGAGTGAAACGCAGGATCACTTTTTCCTTCATCTGCTTTTCTCTGTTTTTGACGCTTTCTGTGAGATCTGCTTTCAAAACAAAGTGCCAGGAAGTACAGCAGCTAAAATGAGCTACTCTCTGAGAGACCATAGTTAACTTTCTAGCACCTGCATTCATTTAGAAATAATTCAAAATGAAAGATGAAATTTCGTTTTTAATATGTTATAAGACTGAGGCACAATATAGTGTATTAAATTAGTTTTACCCAGTTATTCAATAACTTTTGTACAGTATTGCTTGGGTTGCAGGACTTAGTTTATCCACTGCTCTCTTGAGTTTGACCACAGCATTTCCATCAGCAACCTTTGCAGCCTGACGTTGTTAAAAGGCTCAATGAAACCCAAAGTATGCCCAGCGTCATGTTCTTTACAAGCAGCGTCATCAGAAGTCTCTGGACTTTGATTGGCATTGCATCATCTTGGGATTCTTTCATCGTCAGACATTCTTTCTAAAACCTGTTAAAAGCAACAAATAATTAAAGTTCAGGATTGCGGCTTGAGTCGAGCGGCTGACTCTTGTTTTGGCACACTGAGGAGTTTGAATACAAAGTGCTCCGGTCCTAAAACAACCTTAAGTCATCACCCCTCCAACGCTGCGCTTGATGGTTGGCATGAGGAGTTTGCCTTTATCTTATCTGCTCCCTTTGGTCTGCACTGGAGTGTCTACACGGGAGGGTAGACCAAAGGGAAACTTTACAAACCCATGGGAAAATAACATTTGCCTCTCTAAGATCATGGCTTATGTCGTTTCTTTTTGGCTTTGTGAGAGAACGGAATTGAATCTTTAAGAGATTCGAGTGTGTGTTTTGTTGATTAGTTTATGAAGTTTGTTTGATTCAGTTCTATAAAGAATCAGTGTATTATGTCATAGTATATCTGTAGGATGTTTTTACATCCTTTTAAGACCTGATAAGGTCCAGATATTTCTGTGGAGGGGTGGGCTTAATAGATAAAGCTATACAGTTAAAGGGTATTGTCTTTTTTTACATCAGTGTAGACATTTGATTAGATACATGTAAGACCATTAGATAAATGTCATTGATGAGCCTCTGTCTCCTGTGTTGGCTTTTAATCATGTGGGCATTTCTATTTGCAACTTCATGAAGATTCACCTTATTCGGGTGAACTTGGTTGAACCAAGCAATCCCAAATCCTCCATCTGTCCTTGTTATCACAGCCAAACGCTTCATCGCTGCTGATTTAAAAGGTAAAGCACATTTTTCCTGGCCTGCAAATGTACAAATGATTGATTCCCCCTCTGTTAATTACATACGTTTTGTTGGGATAGTTATCGTTCAAAGACAGCAGTCCCAAGAAAAACAAAGGTATAATCTGCCATCCACTCAAACTGCTTTATCTAAAGCTTTACCGCCAAAAAGGCTGACACATGTAAAAGAGAAGTAACAGCTGCGGCCAATGGGGAAAAAGTGGTGTGTTCTGTGACACAGTCATATATTTCTAATTGTGTGAAGGGAAGTTTCGTGCCTGGAAGAAAATTTGAGGGAACTTTCTTGAACTTGTTTGAAACCAAATACAAAGGGAGTCCAGATGTGTTTAAGATACTTCATATTCTTTTTAAAAGGCTATCCTCAGTACTGCATGCTTAACTAAGAATCCATTATTATTCTATATTTATGCGAGCCATACAAACTACTGGTGTGTAACGATTACCCAGGAGCCTGTTTAACATCACTGTAATGAAGGCCGATTCATGCAAGTGAACATAATTAATGACTCAGCCGGCTGTTTGATCTAAATGA